TTCAGTAACTAGAATTATCACACCTGCTATTTTAGCATTGTTTTGATTAACTTGCTTACTCTTAGAACTTACATAGGCAACTACTGAAATCGCATCCTCTCCTCGCCTTACTCAGTGCAAGTATCTGTGAGGGAGATCTCAGCTCCAGACTTCTGCCTTTAAGATCTGCTTTGATTTCATTGCAGCCCAAGACCACTGCCACCTCCACTACCCCTAAATCTTGCTCTCCCAAGTAAACTCAAAATTCAACATAGATTAGGAAGTTCAATCCCCTCTCTACTCACAGGTACCACCATACTGGCTCACCACCACAGTAATCCTGCACGCACCAATGTAGAATCATTTCCCCCAAATTGTGACTTATGTAAAAAATGGGGGTTTACATCAAGGAATGTCATATTATGATACTGCAATGATCATGACCATAAAAAAATACCCACAACATTGAAATACTTTGATTACTAATAGCTTTGGTCTGAGTCATAATTTCCTATCAGCCTGTATCTCTCAGCAGTTCGCTTAATCTGTTCTGAAATCCACGTTGGATCAAGACAGTTCAGATACAAGAAAAAACTGTACACTTTATGGTCAGGTCTTCCAGACATAATACCAAAGAAACCCATACACCATGAATTTCTTGTAGTCTCTGTTTATGTCAAATAGCTTCTCTCTGTATCACATCCAACTAAGGATCATTGCACAATGCCACACAAATACAGCAGCTGACTAGCTGGCAATTATTGGCTCTGGCATGATGAAAATATATTTGTCCCAGAATAAGGCATCTGCATAATTAGCAAAAGCAGTTACACAAAAATAATTAGCTTGCTGAAAGCCCAAAGGAGTAAAAACTATAATTTTTGCTTCAAGAAGCTGACTAATTATATGACAAATAACAAAACAGAGATGCACTGAGAATCATCGAGAAATCCAACATGGATTTTAACTTCAATTCTAGCTGTACGGCTGGTGGTAGCCTAGCAACAAGCAGCATAGTTCAGGCGTGTCAAAACCTCCCTACAACTTAATGGAACACCTCAGACTACTCTGCAAACCTCCCCCACAACCAACTACGTATTTGATTCCTGCATTACTAACTGATAAAAACAAAGCCTAGCCAAAAAAAAATATCAAGCAATTCAAGATAAACTCAAAGCAGCACTAAAGGACCATGGTACAGAAAGTTAATATAAACCACATTCATTATTTTCATAGACTTAAAAATCACATTCTGCTTAGTGTTGATCCATTGGATTTATGGGATCAGAAAATGCCCTGTTATTTGAAACACCTTTTCTAGCAGACTAAGATTTCCGTTTGTTTGTGACTTGCAAACAATTAGTTAAGAAATGATGAACAACTTGCAGCATACTCGCTGATCTCCGAATTACTCCTGATACCCAAATAATGCTGCTGCAATTGCTTACTTTTACTTGAATCCTCAGTGAGCTGGTAGAGGAAACTGTTATCCCAAACAGCAGCCTCGGTGCTAAGAGACCAGTTTTAGTCATCATTCGTCTTCGACCAGTTCTTTCGCCATATTTCACCATTTAAGAAGCCACAGTTACTTTCCCACCTGCCGAGTTCAGCTACGTTCTGCAGTAAGTCAGGTCTGACAACCACTTTCAAGTCTTGTTGTAAATAGCACAATTCCAGTGTTCCTGGGCCAGCACTAGGTTCCAAGTGACACTTCAGCCAACAGCTTGCTCTTAGTTACCCACCTGAGCTACCCAGCAGAGAAGTAGAGATTCACCATATTCACCCATAAGATCACATTTAAAAAGAGTTAGAGTTGATCTTTGCTAGTGTGCTGGGAAGTCATGATATAACTTCAGTTAACCTTTATTTCAGAGGCATGCATTAGCTCTGAGCAACAAGAAGCCCTTCCCCAAAGGGTGAAGCATGTTACTTTTCAGCCAGGTCTGTTCTGCTGCTGATAAAGGCAGCAGCCCAGGACAGAAAACCCAATGCAAGCGAACTAACTCTCCTCCTTCCACAGCACCATTTTATACTGACAAGGGCTTACAGACTGAAGTCTGCATAAACATTTGTCAGTCTGCCTCCCAAAACCTCTGGGACCCTCACGCAGCCTGCACAGAGGTGGACTTAGTACATGGCAGCTACAGAGAGGCACAAACGCAAGCTTTTAATACAAGGCACAACTGCACCATATGGCCTGAAGTCACCTGATCCAGGCAGTGTAACACAAAGGTTATACATTAGGTTACACGTAAGGTTAAAGTGCTATGTTTGGCCAGTAGTGTTATAATTTAAAAGGGGCAGCAGTACAGTCAGAGACAGATGCCCCCATAGTCAATGCTGGACTCTTCCAGACTCAGAGGATTAATAAAACTGAGACAGCTGTTTCCCAAGAAAGGCAGATCATCTGGATGAGCAATATTTACCATCATCTTTCCTGATGACTCTGACAACAGCTGAAAGTGCCACCTTTGTTCAAAAGGTCCAGGAAGTGTCAGGGACACAAATAACCTGACAAATTTGGTTTGCTTTTAGGCCATAATAAGCTTGTGACTATGAGTGAAGATAAGCGTCCTCCACTGGCTTACACAACCTCAAAAAGATAAGCTGAAAGCTGCACAGAGCTGTCGACACGGTAGATATGGTGAGCATGTATGCTGTTATTTGTGCTGTGCTTGGCAGGCAAGGAAGAAGCAACAAACCAGCCTATAGGACTACAAGGAACTGAACCCTCCCCTCACACACACAAAAAGTGATATTAATAAATTATGTTCTCATTAGCTTCACAAATCAGAGCTACTTTAAAAATAACTCATGCAACTACACTTTTTTTTTTTATTGTTAGGGAAGATTAAATGTTTCTGGCAGAACAATGGGATACCCTAACCTTTCCACACCTTGCTCTCTTTGACCCTTTAATACTCCTCCACTTCCCCCCAGCTCCCTTTCCCCCAGGCTACTTTTGGTCTGTGTCCACACACGATATTCAACAGAGGAGAAATGCTAACACACACACACTCTAAGGACTGCATCCAGACACAGTGCAAGCAAGGACAGTGAAACATCAGCAGATCATATTAAGCAGAGTGGGGAACACAGGAGTACTTGTGTCAAGAAGCATAAAAAGCCTGTTGATGGAGTCAAGGACATGAGATAGTGTGTGTAAGGTCTCAGGCATTGTACCTGCAAGAACATTAAGTCTTCAAATTCACCAAAACAGTGACAGAGGAAGGGGTATTACAAGAAAAAATAATTCTAATAAAACTAGAAGATCTAATGTGCATAGATGCTTTCCTTGCATGTATTTTAAAAAATTTTTTAAAAGTTTCTATGGAATCCTTCTTTGGCAATTTTAAAACAGATGGCTTGCTTTCCTGGAAAGAGATGGTAGTAAGAATTGCCTACCCAGAACAAGTCATCCCAATTGTCCCATCTTGCTTCTTTTGATGTTTTTCATGGTGCCAGCAGCCTTGAATTACATCACACCATGCACTAGAATGTTCAGACTGGAGACCAGAGCCACTTCTCAAAAACCAAGGATTCACAAGTGATGTCTCTGGTACTGTTCTGGGATGTGTGAATGCTAAAATGATTACATAGCTAAAACTCACACCACAAATAAACTAACTCTAGTTTCTTCCTCTTCATGTGATTCTTACATGTACCCCACATATTTCAGACTAAATACTCTTCTAATCCATTGTGACATACATAATTTTCTACCAAGATCACTTTCATTCAGGCTAGAAAAAAACCCTCCGTAAACTTAGCTTAAATTTGGCTAGAGGACATTAAGCTCCAAAAATCCTTCCCTCTCTGCCAAAAGAATAAACTCAACAGAAATCCCACCCACAGTCATCATCCCACCAAAGCGACGATGGTTAAAAAGACCATGTAGCAATACTTCTCACCAGAGAGTACATGTTTGCCTCCTCAAAATCCAGACCACACAATCTACATAGCGGAGTGATGCATCAAATTAACTTCCTGGTTTTGAAAGCCCATTCTGTTCCACTACTACCAAAACAGAAGTTCTACCTTAGCCTAGCCAAACAGAAAGCAGAGAAGCTGGATCAGCACTAAGCTTGTTTCAGTTAGAGTTAGGATTTCAGAACGAACACCTGGAGGTTGTAAGTCTTAAGATGTTTGCTAAGGGATTAAATATTTATTTCCCCCACTCCTTAAAAAAAAAAAGTACAAGGACATTTGTTTCTCAGCTGCACCTTTTTGCCACTGTAAGCCTCATGTACCAATACATTATGCAAAAGCATAATTTTAACCCATTCCATCACAGAGGAACCTGCACTAAGTCTTCATCTTCCCAAACATACAAGAGAATACCACACCACATTTCTGAATAATCCAAAATACAACTTCAGACTTTTCAAATAAGTCAATTTTATTAGGTCCTGCAAGAATAAAGTTCACTGTATTTTAAAAATTGATTTGGCAAGAAGAATGGTGCCTAGAAGTGAAAAAGGTATTTTTTCTCATTCGAAAGAGCAGAGACACCTCTGTTCTCTTGGTTTCTGAGTGCATGGTGGGAAAGACTGGGGACATCGCCTCTCCTGCTCTTGGCCTTGCGGAGTGTGGGGGCTTGATAGGAACCCACAGCACTGAACCCATGTTCTTCATCTCTGCTCTACCCTGCTGTTGGCAGAAAAATTAATTCCCTCACCAAGAGTTCTCTCAAAACTCTATTACTAAAAAATGAGTGATACTTAATTAAAAATACTTACTAGCTCATAAGCTTATCTTTAAGAAAAGCAGTAATAAACACTTGTTTTTTAAATCAGCAAGCTACTAGTCTCAGACAAGGAGCATTCTCCTTCCAATACTACTATGAAGACAGAGCAGGTCAACTGAACATCAATTTTATGTGTTGCAAAACCTATGTATATATTTCTGATCGCCCATACTTTTCTCCCTTAACAGAATGATTGTTCCGTGCCCACGTCCATTTGAACGCCTCACCAACTGAAAACTGCTTAAAACAAGAAAATGCAAATACTCCTACTCACCACTTGAACTCTGGATCATGTTTCCAGATTTTTGGACCTCATCGAATTTTGTAAAAATTACATTCAACCTGTTGGAAAGGTAAAGAAATACACAATGAAAGATGAATTTAATCTTTAGGAATCTCTTCATTTAAGATGCTATAGGACAAATTTTGCTTAACTCAGGTCATTGGGAGCACTGTCCAAAATGTCACTGTAGAAGAAAGTTACTTGAAAAATAAAAGTATCACAGCATGCAACAGCAGATAAGAGAAACTGAGAAACAACTGAATCTACAGAGGTGTAAGATACAAATGGAAATACTATAATACTGAAGACATAACATGTCTAATTCTAGATGTATTTCCAGTTCATTATTACTTCACCTACCTTAAATATTTGCAGAAATACCACAAAACCCACTCCTAAAAAAACAACTTCACCCAACATTTATCTTTGGCCCTGATGCTTCTCTCATTTGTGTCACAGGCCTGGTGGAGCAGAAGATCCTTATCACATCTCATTAATCCTTCCCAGAGAATTTATTACTTTCAGCCACATTGTGGCAGCAGGTATTTTCACTGGAGAACAAAGGCAACAGTACTGGCTACCCTCGCATACACCCCACCTCTGAAATAACCTCTTGCCTCTTCCCTCTGTGCATTGACACACTGCCATCTTCTCCATCCTCAGGTCTAACCACACTCCACCCTCTGCACTGGAGGTTTTTGCAAAACACGGAGCAACTTCTTACTGCATCTGAAGTGGCAGACACAGAGGAACAGGGCTTGGGTTTTGGGGTGGGGGAATTAGGGTGGTTTTTTTGTTTGGTGCGGTCTGTTGGGAGTTTTGAAGAGACAGGTTTTTTGGGTTTTGGTTTGTTTTGATTTTTAATAAAGCCTTGGAACTGATGATATTGACTGTATTGGTTTTCCTTCTTCTAAATTACATAAATGCAGGCTACTCTGAAGAGTCCCCTCTACACATGCAGAACATCCAGAAAAAAAATCATCACATTAAATCTTAAATCAGTTAACTACACATCTGTTATGTTACTGGTTTTCCAAAGATGCTGTGGCATCCGTAGCCAAAGGTAAGGACCTACATTAAGGGAAACCTGAGTGTATGATATAAAAAAAAAACACATACGAACAACCCTGATCCCAGGAAAAGGTTCAGTCATGCAGCTCCTGAAGCCTTTTAAAAGAAGGAAGGGAATAAAAAGCAGCCCCAAAATACTGAAGACATAAGGATATTACAGCTTACCGAGACTGGGGTAATCCTTTTTTACTGAGATCAGCCCTTACACGTTCACCAACATGTCTGTATATTTCCACAAGGCTGTTTATTGCTGCATCTCGAACCTGAATGCGAGACATGAGAGACATCAGCCATCTCTGTAATTTAGATAAATCCTTGTCCTACCTTGGAGGAAGAAATTTGCATATTTCTCAACAACAGTTGCCAATATAGCCATTAGCACAGTGTTCAGGAAGGAGCTTCCATCCCTGCATTTCAGATATTAGCAGTATCAAGAGGTCTAATTTAACTGAAATGGCAGTCAAGACATAAGATGAAAAGTTTCATACATAGGGATACACACAGGGAGCTCGCCTGACTCTGCCAATACTCCACACATCGTATTCAACAGATGTATTTACTAGATCAAAAAAGCAAGGACACACATACAAATAGACCTTATATTGCTAGTATGTTATAAAAGAAACCAATTTTTAATGCCACTTTATAAACGTATGTTTCTGTGTTAACAAAATACGAAGGGAGGTGTAATCAATCACCATGAATTTTGCATGTTTTCTAAACTGATTTGCAAGAAATCGCTGAGCACATCACCCAACAGAAGAGCCACAATGTGATTAAAGTGTCACCTTTCGGACTGAACCCCCTTTCTCCATCAGGCAGAGAAGGTATCTGCTTTGCCTACAGAAATACCTACAAAGCCATGCATTTCTGCTTCTTAGAAGATGGCCTGGCATTACCAAAGCACCAGCACGCATCAGGACTAGACACAGGATATTTTGTGGGCAAAAGCTAGAATCGCCTATAGGCAAGAGTCAAAGGGCAGGTAGATATACACACAGGTGTCCTGTTTCCTAGACAAAAAAAAACAAAACAAAACCCTTGACTTGCGCTCATCTCACCCCGCTGTGCTCCACAGCCTTCCCATTCAGCAGGTCACTGCCAGTTCCCAAACCCCTGCCTTCACTCATACCAGCCCTTAACTTGATAGTCTTGCCTCTCTTCCTTTTGCCCACCAGCCCCATATGCAACCAGGCAGGACTTCTGAGCACAGCTCAGTAAAGACTCTCTGATGTCCCCCAGTTTCTGGGTATACAGACCCTAACCCAGCCTTGCTCTGCCTCCAACAACCAGGGAGAAGTAACAGTGTGTGAGTGACATCTCACACACCTGAAGTGAGTCCCCCTGCCCTGGGGCCCATGCCCACACATCAGCAGCAGAGGCATGGCTGCATGATCTGGAAGGACTGTGTATAAAGTTAATCAGAGGTACAGTTTCAGGACTGGGTAAACCCCACACTGGGTAAGGCAGGGAGCCACTACTATCACACTGGGTTTAGTCGACAACAGCAATAACAAAGTTTCACTCAAAAATAAAATTGAGCATTAACCAATCATAGTTTAAATACTGTTGTCATACCAGATGCTAGTAGAAAACAACTACTCTTTCTGAAAAGAGCAGCAACATAACAGCTTCCATGTCCACCACAAAAGGGAAAACTGCGTTTGACCCGGATATGTGGTTTTCCATCATTTCTCACCAAGAGAGGGCAGCATAGACCGAGCACCAGGTTCCCCAGCCACAGAAGGCACCAGCAGCACAGAAGCAGCCCTAGGGGAGCCCAGGGCAGGTGCTGCTCAACCAGGAGACACTTTGACAGCCATTTGTCTGATCAGTTCGGGCATGGGTTTTCTGGGGATGAGGAACCAAACCCAGGAGAAGGTCCAAGAGATCAGCCCCATTTCCCCCTGCAGCTGGATACTGGGATAATGAGCTATGTCAGGCACATAGAAGAGGCACCGCAGAAGCAAAACGTGTCAGTGCCCTCACCAACTTTCTGATTCATTTACTAGCTCACCAACGGCAGGACCAAGGTGTGTGCCTGTGCCACAAGTACCCCCCCACCACCTTGAAGAATAAGAGCTTGCTCAGTCACAACTCAAAAACTACGAAAGACCCTGAACATCAAACTTTCTCAGAAACTTCTTGTGGTAACAGGTTTATCCTCCTGCATTGGCACAACCAGCAAAGGAAGGCTGCTTCACATTCAGTCCTCCTCTTCATCAAAGGGAGGCCCCAACAGCCATGGGACTACAGCTAACTCCCTGAACAATGCAAACCCATTCTCCAGTTGGCCACCCCATGCTTCTTTCCAGCTAAACACACCAGACCTGGATCACATGTCACCCATGCTGGGAAGGTAACAGGAAAAAAAACCTGCTAGTACACACTGTATGACAAGTTTATACCCTGCTTTCCCTCCTTTTCCCCACCTTCTCACTAACACTTGAATCTAGTTTCAGGTCAGGTCCTGTCCAGGGCAGGACAAAAAGCATACAGAAGTGACAGAAACCTTCCAACATGTATTTTCCTGTGGCTTGCATTGCTGATTTAGGATTCCAGTACATCTTGCTTTCCTTCCACCCCTTATTCAGAATCTGCCTGTACAACTTCTGGCAGTACACCTAGCCAGGCTGTCCAACTGGTCTTATCTGCCCTCCCTGCCCAGACTGGTTCATCTCTGAAGATGAAGGATGCTGCACTAAGCCCAGAGGGTTTCCTGCAGCCTCCCCTGCATTCAGACTGTAAATCACAGCAGTTCCCTTCCCACAAAGGTTTCCTGCTCTGTTTATATCATCTACAGATTCATGTTGTTCTTTTGAACTCTGTGCTGGTTTAGGCAACACTTCACTTCAGAAAGGGCTCTTCAAAAAGGGCTCTTCATGAACAGCATTGTTCAGAGCTCACCACCAGCAGCACAATTAGCTAATTTACCAGGCAGAACACAGAGCCCTGCTTACCAACAAGGCAATCAGCACAACCTTTAGATGTGACTCACACCAAAAGCTTACCTGGCTGTTTGGATCTCCAAGTAAGTTACATATATGTGGCACTATCTTACTCAGTGTTAAACTCTGAGCTCCAGATCTGGGAATAAAGAACAAGAGAGCACTGGTGTGAATCACAGACCAGGCTTGCATACATAATACAGGTTTGCAGGAAGTTCTGACTTACGCATTGAGCGTTGCAATAAGGCAGAGGCAAATCCCTTCTCTTGTCCGGAAATTCTTGTGTTTGAATCCTCCTAGCATCCTGTCCCACACGTACTGTGGAAGACAGAAAATGAGGTGAGACAGGAAGGAAAGGAGGCGGGAAAGACACAGATTCTTTCTTCCAGCAGATATATACCATGACATCTCTGGAGCTTAAACATAAGCTTTACACCCATCCAAGCAGAACAGGACAAGAAGTTGGAAGACGATTTCAGATCTGTCATTCTCTGTTCTGTGCTGAATTCACCGTAATTCCCCACTAGTTAAAACAGTACTTTTAGTTACTGAAAGCAAGTACCTTCCAAAGACCCAGAACTACTACTCTGACATCCACTCATCTCATCCTTGGGAAATCCACTGACACTCCCATGTGTATCCTGACATGCAACAGCACTCCCAAGAGATGCAAATATCTCAAAACAAGGTGTAGGGAGATGAAGCCACTTCAGACAGAGCCACAGGAGGAAACCCTCTGACAGAAAAGTTCTCCGTTTTAAGCAGCCAGTCACTCACTCACTGCAAAAGGCTATCAAGCATACCTGAGGGTTAGCAGCTTGTTCCATGATTTTCAGCAGCAAGGTCTGATCCTGCTCCCTCACTGAGTCTTTAGAGTCTCCCAGCCTATCAAGTAAACTTGGCAGCACTGAGGAAAGAAAACGTGAACATCCAAATCCCTCCAAAGAAAACTCACAGTGGCACAGCCCCTCTGCTCTCTCTCCACCTGGATGGAGAGACCAGCCCTCCCACCCTTCAGCAGAGCCTGAAACCACCAAGAGCCTCCCAAGTGCTCTTGTGGAGAGAAAGCCACTTTTGTATACAGCAGCCACAGCAGATCCCAAAAGAGCAATGGTGACATCCCCCCTCCGCACGCACACACAGAGCCCTTACCTGTGCCAATTTGGGCCTTGAAGCGATCTTGCAAGCGGGATACTAATGCAGAAATTATGTCAATCCCCAGGAGAACCACCTGCAAGCACAGGACAGGTGGTGTTATAGCATACAGCACTTTGCCCCTGGCCTCAGCCAACACACCCAAGAGATGGGAGTGCTGGCACATGCTCCCCTGGGAGTAGGGCCCCTTCCCATCCATGCTACCAGCACTGCTCAGATACCAGCATTGTACAGGTACACACAGCTCTTCTTTTCACGGCTTCTGACAGACAAACAAGTGTCTTGCAAACAGAAAAGTCCCCAAATCATTGTTCCCTGTGACATATACTAGCCAAAATTCACCACCAAGAACTTGACAAAGACAACAACTGTAATTGCCACTCAATGCTAAATTCATACATATGCGCAACATACACATAAAATATGCATAACGATTTCAATATTTGCTGTAGCCAACATTTCTAGCTAATTGTAATTATTGTACTTATTGTAATTATAATTAGAAAATGATGTGCACTAACAGCTGGTTAATTACTGACTTGCAGAAATTAAACCTAACACTTTCATGACCCAACTGAAGCCAAGGAAAAAGCACCTTGTGTGAAAAAAGCTTCAGGACAGGTTGCAGATCAGAAAAAAAACACTCTGATCAGCACAATTTAATAGCTACAAAAAAAAAAAAAAAAAATACATCGCATACTAAATGTACTGTGTCACCTGTATACTAAATACTTGGCAAGACCCTGCAGACTGCGATAGTTTTGGTATGAGCCATCTCTCTATAAGTCTTTAGAGTGAAGCACAGAGGTTTGTAATCCACAGAAATGCAACGGCCGGCCAGACTCCTGCGGCAGCGCTGCCAGGGCTGCACAGCGCAGCCCCGCTCCCTGCGGATCCTGCACCTTCCATTCATACGCCCGGCACTGCCGGGCAGCCGGCAGGGGACGCGCTTCGCCTCAGCCCGGCATGGCTGGCCAGCCCCTTATGCAAATATCACCCGGGTGGCGCTGAGCACTCTGGGTAGCGCCCCACAGTCGACAAAACGGCTTTCACCGGGGCCGGAGGCGCGTTGGCAGCGCCGCTCTCCGTGCCACAACGAGAGGAGCGCGGCCCAGGGCCGGGCGGCGGAGGAGCGAGTCTGGCGGCGCGCCGCCCCTCGCCCGGACCTGGGGCGCTGTCAGCTTTCCCCTGCAGGGAGGCGCGCGGATGCTGCCGCTTAACCGTCCTTATCTGGGGGTTGCGTGGCTGCCCAATGAGCGAATGGCGAGGGCAGCACTGCTAACGCCTTGAGCAACACATTCAGCGCCCGCCCCGTGCGTGGCGCAATTTTTGGAACCTCGCACCGCGGCGCGTGCCCGGCGCGTTCACTACACCCGCCGCTTCTACGGCTCTCGCTGCAGCGAGTCGCGGTCTCCCGTGGCGCGGGTTGGTGTTTGCCTCAGCCGCGCTCTACCCACGCAGTCGGGCTCGGCTGCAAGCGGCGGTGTTCCCTGTGCTTTTTTTTCTTCTTCCTTCGCCCCCCCCCCAACAGTCCCCGAGTTTAACCCCCCACCCCGGCTGGAGCTACATGGCTGCTGCACCCCGTGCATCTCTAACCCAAGCTTCAGCTCGCCTCAGAGATTCGCTCCAAATTCAGCAAGGGAGCTCTGAACAGTGCAAAAGGAACAGCCTACTCCAGTCCACTGAAAAGAAACTTCTCAAACACGAGCCCCCAACATATCCCTTCACCCTCTACACACAGTTCCCACAGTTTTCTCCCATCAGACAGATCCTTCAACCATGTGGTTTTTTTCCTTTTTTTGTAATTCAGCATCATTAGCAGAATGCTGTCAAGATCTAGAATCTATCTGTATATGCCAGGGGAGAGTTTTCCTCATGCTGTTATAAACTGTCACATTTCCACTTTCACCTTGCACAAACAGATTTAATCTACCCTTATCAAATGCTCATCAGGTGCCTAAAGCCCAGTCACTACCCGCTCAGCTCCTACCGGCTAGGGTATGGCAGCACAGCCCAGGCAAGGGAATGCCTCTCATCAGCCGAGAGATGCTTCTAAGGAAAGCCCCTGGGCCTCAGAATGCCAGTCATTACTCATGGCTGTCAGATCAGGGTCCCACCACAGCAGCACCCTGCACAAAGACTTAAGTCTGGTGCTTGCAATTCTGGACGTGTGCCCCGGGGATAAATCTGATCCCTGGAGAAGGGTATCTCTTCTCCAAACTGCCTGCAAACCAGAAAGAGCAAGGGGAACTCATCGGTGAAACATGAAGGAAACACAAGCACAGTGTAAACATAGCCAGCTATCCCTGCAGGATCAGACCGGGAGCATGAGCTAAGCCTCCCAAGACTTACGGCTGTTGTGCTCATAGAAATGGAGAGCTAATTAACACAGTGACTATAGTGTGCTTGGACAGCTACTGAGGAAGCAACCATTGGGGTTGACCAGGTATTATTCCCTACCATAATGGATTATCAACCCCAGTGTGCCACCTGCCTCTAACTGCTGGAGGTTGAAAACCTGTCTGGACTGACAGATCCAACAGATCCATTAGATAACAGAAAACTCAGGGCATGACTGGCAATTGAATTCCAGCCCTTGCTGCATTGGACTCACTGCACTGCAGAGCCCACCTCAGTTTATCATTGAGGCAGTTCCTCAAGCTCTGCCTGAACTACCACACACCAATGACCAGGAGGAACCTCAGGAGTAGGGATGCTGTCACACAGGGCCAGAGCAGCGATGGGCCCTGTGAGCAGCCACCCACTGCTGTTATCTCACAGCACAGCCCTCCCCAGGAAGCCAACCACTGGCACTGCTCCACACTAAGACACAGGAAGGGCAACTCTGCATCCAAAATCTCAGGCAACACTGCAGTGCCAATAACTATGGAGCTATTCTAAGCCTTTACATCAGCACAGGTCTTGCTCCAGTCAAGGCAGGACTCAACTCACCAGTATCTCTAGTAGCACAGAGGCCTCCAGCCCTCAGCTGAGAAAATACCAGGTTAGCAGTTGCTGCTTTTAGCCCCCCACTTTATACAGGCTCAAGAAATTGAGACCTCAGTCCTCCCAAACCCACTGCAGAAAAACAACAGTATGAGGGTTCCAGGTCTGCAGCTCTGCTGCTTAGGTTATTTGACTCCTGAGGTTTCCCAAGACAGCCAATAGAGCAATTTGTGCCATCCAGATTCAGCTCAATTGGCATCTGCTGCTACTTTGTAATATCTCAGAGTACTTTCAGTACTGCCAGCATGACCACCTCCTACCTCCCTCCAACTACCAGGTCTCAAAGCACCATTATTCACAGTAAAGGAGGCTGTTACTTCCCAAGATGCAACATAATTATTTTCTATACTGGGAAAGGTTAAGAGGTCATCAAAAACTTATTTCAAATAACTCAAAGCATCCATCCTTTTTAATACCTGGGTGGTGTTGAAAGGCCTGCAGGCAGCACCACATATCAGAGAGCAGATAGCCTACCATCATCTGCTCTAACACTAAATGCTCACCCAGCACAGCAGACAAACACATCCAACACAGTGTAAAACAAGACACATCTAAATGCACTCCCATAGAAGGGTGAGAAGACAGCTGCAGGATCTCACACCAGCTGATCCAGTACAAGGTGCCCAGAGTGAACCACAGCCTCAAGCTCCCTGGACAGCCTGCACCAGCATGGCTGCTCCAGCCTGCAGTGGGGAAGAGGTGACTGCACTCTCTGCACCATGCCACATGAGGCAGAGAAGTGGTTGTTGTACCTATATCCCACATCTCTTGCAGGGAATCAGCGATGGGCTGAACAGCACATCCCTGGCTGCTGGCTTCCACACCTGGCAGCTGGGACCTGAAGGGGAATGCCAGAAATATAGTTTTACTCCAGCTTGCTTACGTGCTCAATTTTCTCATCTCCAACACTGGTGACACACAGCTTGGCTATTTCACTTTGGAGTCTGTCAGGGGTTTCTGGGAGGAAGGGGGAGAGGTGGATGACAGGCTTCTCATTCTCAATGAGAAAAGATAATCCAACCAGATTTTTTGAACACTTGCTTAGATAATCTTTTGGATTCATAAACAAAGACATGGATAAACACTTGCATACTTTAAATAACTTACTATATTTGTGAAAAAGGAGAACACATCAGATTACACACCATGAAGCCCAAGGCAAGGATTAATGCCCCACCACTGCCTGATGACTAGAGCTGACCAGTCAGGGAGCATTTCTAATTCCTCAGAACCTCAAACATCCACCACAACTGGGCACCCAAGACCAAACAAAAGCTAAAGTTAACTGACATTTACAAATTTAGTTTTGAAGTCAGGTGCATGTTTTGGGTCAGCACAGCTGGCAGAGTATTCCATCTGTACATCAGCATAACCACACTGGAGGAGTCAATCTCCTTCTGCCATTGCAGCAGTTAACATTTCATGCTCCAAGGCAAGATCACATCCATACTGGCAACATGAGCACATCACCCCAGCCCAGCGATCCCAGTATAACTCATATGTGTGTCTGAGCTGTACAACGCAATTTACAAACCCAACACTAGTGAACAGGAAGACAGCAACACTAGCACAGCTGGTTTTACTGGCATGGCTACAAGCTGTGGTCAAAGAGCTGAACGAGGGGAAGGTTTGAAATCGTTATTCCTCGGCTCATTCTTCAGATCCATGAGATATCATACACTGTCACAGACACCACCTTCAAAATCCACAACCAGTTTGGGATGCTGGGCTGTTCATTTGTCATTCAATACAACAATGCCTCAACCATGCTGCTTGGTTTGGATATGCAAGTTTTCCCATGGACCGCAGTCTCTTAAGAGTGGCTTCCTGGAGGAAAAATGCCCTCTCATCATCTACAGAGACAGATTTCTAAATCTCTGAAATTTAGAAAATTTAACTAATGTGGGAATTTAAATTTCTGAGCAAAGCAATCTTACAGCAACTTTTCTTCTGTTTTAAGATACTGATGAGACACCAGACATCTGGTTTAGATTTAGAAGAATGAGGAAAAGAGCTGCAGAAACCTTTTACAGGGTTTTCCTGTCCTCCTATACAGCTCAGTTATTCTGCCCAGATCAGGCAATTACACACAGGAGTATCGGATCAAACACAGACAGGACCTATGGCTGAGAACATAGTGGCTCAGGAACATGTCTTGGCACTCTTGTCCTTTCCTGGCAGGAAGGCCAGATCCTGTACACTGGAGAGTATCAGCACTGAGAGGCTCCTTACAGTACATCATGCAACTTTCAGCAAATTAGACTAGCAGCACACTTACACACCTGACAGGATTTAAACCACACAAAAACTTTCATCCCTATGTCCCTTTTCCTGGCCTCTCCTACCTCATGCTTGAAGACCTTTTCTCCTGGTAGTACATCCAGAGATACCTTGCTCTTTCCTTCCCCACTGTGAATCCATCCCCTTCTGTACACCAGCCCATGAAGGTGGCCCATGACAACAGCCTTCTCTCGAGGCAGCAAAGCCCAGGTTGCTCATGCTGTCTCTGCTCTGCCACCATCTCAAAGGAAAATCCAGGGGGAACTGACTGCCCTATGCACTTCCACCCAGGTTCTCAATTCTTGTGGTTTCCCCTCAGTCCTCTGTGCAACATCATCCTGCAAGTTTATCTTCTCTGCACCTCTTGCCAATGCCACTCTGTACTGACAGATACAGGTCAGCCAAGTCTCCCCCCTTCCTTACTATGATGACAGCCACCCGTACTATTGCAGAGTTGCCACACTACAATCCCAACCATCTGAGTCTCTGGCAAACGTCTCACTTGTATAACACAAGAAGTAACACAACTTCTCACAGGTCTTCTGAGGCTAGGAGAAGCGTGATCAGCCCATGCCCTTAATCCCCCACACTGCTCCAGCGTAACATAGAGCTCAGAGCACATCTCAGCACTTTTAAACCACTGCTTGTAAATATCAAGAAGCAGCACCTATGAATTAAGGACCACTGCTCACCCAAAATTCCAGGGACCAGTGTATTTGATGCCAACTCACCTACCCTACAATGCTGCAGCACTGTGAGACAGTGATAAAGGACAGTAAAGCCCATGTGACAGCCTACCAGGCCTTACTGGTGGTCTGATGTGAAAAGCTGAACCAAAACACCCGATGGAAGCACTAGCACTAGTAAAATGACCCAAACACCTGGTTATTGAAAGTTCTCCTTCGTTTACAGACCTGGGAACAGGTGAGCAAAACACTATAAACAACACATAGCTGAAATAGAGTGAAATAAATCCCAGAAGGACCAAGGCAATACTGGGAGGTATTACAAAAAAGTTGTCAGGAATTATCACTAAAGAGATATATTTTTA